GCCAATTCACTGTCACATTTCAACTATAAAGCATGCAGCTTCCTCGGAGTTGCCAGTTCACTGTCACATTTCAACTATAAAGCAGATAAAACAGCTTCCTCGGAGTTGCCAATTCACTGTCACATTTCAACTATAAAGCATGCAGCTTCCTCGGAGTTGCCAGTTCACTGTCACATTTCAACTATAAAGCATGCAGCTTCCTCGGAGTTGCCAGTTCACTGTCACATTTCAACTATTAAGGTGCAACAAAAATTGAAGCGTGCATCTTCTTCTCAGCTGCCAATTCACTGTCACATTTCAACTGTAAAGGTGCAACAAAAAATTAGTCATGCAATTTCCTCTTAGTTGTCAATTCACTCTCACATTTCAACTATTAAAGAGCAACAAAAACTAAAGCACGCCTCAGCTGCTAATTCACTGTCGCATTTCAACTATTAACAAGAAGCAAAAGTTGAAGCATGCGCTTTCCTCTTCGCCGCTGATTCAGTGACGCTTTTAAATTATTTATAAGAGACGAAAGTTAAAGCATGCAGTTTCCCACTGTCACACTTCAAGTATTTGCATGCAGCAGAAGGGCTGCGGGCCCTCCCGCCCCACAGTGCTGCGGCTCACCGTCTATGAGCATCGCCCCCACAGTGCCCCGCACGCAATACCCCGGAAGCAACACGAGGTTTTCCGGCCCCCCAGCCCACAGCTTCAAAGCCTTCAAGGCCAGGCCCCCGTGGAGCATCCCGGGGGTTGCAAGAAGCACCATGGGGGTGGGGGAAGTGAGGACTTCGGGCGGCAGCGTGGAGATGTGGGAGAAGTCGAAAGCCCCGAACTCGGCGGCTGCGAGCAGTCAAAAGGCAACTAAGAGATTCAAAAAGAGCCAATCACGGGAACTTCGTGTCAATTTGCTGCAGTCTGCAGCAAATTAACAGCAGGTTCCCGTGAACTTGGTGTTAATTTGCTGCAGTCTGCAGCAAATTAACAGCAAGTTCCCGTGAACTTGGTGTTAATTTGCTGCAGTCTGCAGCAAATTAACAGCAACTGCAACTCCTGGGCCCACGCACCAGAGCCCGGAGAGTCGTCTTCGACTTGGTCTGCAAATGCATTCTGCTGCGCGTTGGCGCCGCCCAGGCGGTGCAGCAAGTCGCTGCCAGTCCACTGTACGTACAGCTTGTAGTACTTGTTGGCCTTTTCCGTCATGCCCCCCCCAAAGTAAATCGGATACTGCAGCTGCATGCGCTGCCAGTAAGAGTTCAGCAGCATGCAGAGTTCTTGGGCCCTTCCCACGGCGAAGACCGGAATCAGCACTTTGCCCTGGAAGCAAAACGCAGTGCAGCAAGCAGCTGCGCGTCTGCTGCTGCAGCGCATGCATGCAGGAAAAGACAACAAGTTCTACAAAACAAAGCACAACAACAAACTCTAAGTGCTGAGGACTTGTCCTTTGTCATGCAGGAAAAGACAACAAGTTCTACAAAACAAAGTACAACACAAACTCTAAGTGCTGAGGACTTGTCCTTTGTCATGCAGGAAAAGACAACAAGTTCTACAAAACAAAGTACAACACAAACTCTAAGTGCTGAGGACTTGTCCTCATTTCCCACTCCTTTCTTCAGCGCCTCGTGCACAGCGTCGCAGAACTCTCTTTCCGTAATTCTCTTCGAAGGCCGCACAAACGAGGCGTACGTACACTCGCTGATCAGCAAGTCCGGCCGCAGCCTCGGAATGCTCGCGCTGCCCAAGTGTCTGTCGGGCGAAGTGTTGAAGTCTCCTGCATGCAAGTGAACTCACGGCCAAACTCAGCACTACTACTCAGAACTATTCTCGAGAAAACTGGACTTTTAAGCGGACTTGCAGAACTGGGCAGTTCGAACTCAGCGAGAAACTGGAAGCGAGGCTGCGGTGTACAGACAGTGCACAGACAGCTGCGGTGTACAGACACTGGACGAGTATGGGGTCGTTTTGACTGCAATTTCAGAGGCAGTCTGCCGCTTCAAATGAATTGAGAATGCGGGACCTGTGTACACGATCGAAGGGCCTCCAGGGAGCTGCGCATGCAACATGGCAGCCCCCAAAACGTGGCCAGCGTAGTAGGGAGTCACTGTCCACCCCCCCGCCTCCCAAGACTCGTGCAGCCGCAGAGCCACGCAGCGGCGCATGCAGCGCTGCGCCTCCGCCTCAGTGTAATTCCACTGTTCTTGCGAAGCAGCGCCAGCGGCTGCGGCCCCCCGGCCTTCGCCGCTGGCGCTGCTGCTGCTGCTGAGGCCCGCGTCTCTGCTGCTGCTGCTGAGGCTCGCGTCTCTGCTGCTGCTGCTGCTGCTGAGGCCCGCGTCTCTGCCGCCGCCTTCGGCTGCAGCACACAGCCGCAGCTGCAAACAAAGGCGCTGCAGGCCAAGAGACGCAGCAGCAGCAGCAACGCTGCGCGGCCGGGCCCCACACAACTTGCTGCTTACCCTCAGCCAGCAGCTGCTGCCGCCCCCGGAAAGAAGCCTCTTTAAAGATGCGCGCGCTGTCCAGCAGCAGCACTGGGCTCAACGCGCGGGTGGGGAAAGTCATGGCTATTGGGTTTCGATATCTGCAGAGCCGCACAGCCAGCAGCACGAGGCCACAAGCAGCAGTGCTGGAGAAAGCGGCCAAAGTCTGCGGGACTCGCGAGAGTCTTGGTCTGGCAATCCACGAAAATCCTTTAAAATATGCCCCAATGTTTTATTTGTGCAAAAAGAGTGAAGAGCAGCTGCCTGCGGTCCCGAAGACCCAGCTTCCTCTGGTGTTCACTGCTGCTGTACATACACCCGACCAGGAAAGCAGGGCTGCAAGGACTCGCGAGGAGAAACAGTTTCATTCTTACCCAAGACGTTCTGTAAACGAAGGCAAAGAGCCGCAGTGGTCCATGTGGAAGTGGGAAATGAGAGCGGCGTCTGTACAGCAGGCGAACAGCGGCGAAGGCTCGAGCAGCGCCTCCTCCATTGTTTGCAGATCATCTTTTCCACTTTTTTGCGGAGTCAACTGAAGAAGCAAATTCAAAAGTGGCAGCTTTCTCGCTTGTTTGGCGCCCAAGTGGCTGCCGCAGTCGAACAGCAGCCCCCGCTCGCCGCGCCGTACGTACACCGCACTGCGCCCGACATCCTGGCCGGCGCCAAGCACGGTAACCTTCAGCAGATCTGCGGGAACTGTTATTTTTGAAGGATTATTTGCATTTAAATTGCAATTAAATGTCAAATAAATGCGTTTTGAAGCTCTTTGCGCCGCTGGAGGCAGCAGCACGAGGCCTCGCGACCCCGGGGCACCCCTCAAGTGCCCATCGCATGCAGCCGCCCTTCCCCGCCAGTCTCTAACGCCTCCCCAACAAGGGCCTTTCTCTGCACTTTGGAGGAGCGAAGCTGCTGCTGCTGGCGGCTGCTGCAGCGGCTGGCTTTGCTGCAGACTGTGCGCACTTTGCTGCTGCTGCTGCTGCTGCTGCTGCTGCTGCTGCGGGTCTTGGCGGCTCTGAGACTGGGGAGGAAGCTGCATGGCCCGCTCGCGTTCGGGTCTCAGCCGCAAACCAACGCGTCGAGGCGCTGCACATCAACTGCTGGAAGCCGTTTCAAAAAGTGGAATAAAATTTGTTTTGCGCATTTCTGCAAAGTCGGTGGCCCAGCTACAACTATGGGGGGGCCCCCAGGAGAAAAGGGCCTTTGCAGCTCCGGCGGGCCCGGGGCTTTCCTTTAGGCTTAAAGCTTGCAACTTCTTGAATTAAAATTCAGTTTATTGTTTTCAAATGCATGCAGATAGATCTTTGCTGCTGCTTCGAAGGAGCCCTGGCACAGCCGGGGGGCCCTGGGGCTGGCCCCCGAAGGCCCTCCAGACCCACAGAAGACCCCTTTGTTGCTGCGGCTTGGGGGCCCCTCTTCCAGCTTTCTTGGGGGCCCCTCTTCTAGCTTTCTTAGTTTCGGGAAGGCCCACAGTTGGCCAGTTTGTTCTTTTCAACTTCGAGGGGAAAGGGGGGCGGCGGCTTCTGCTGCAGTTCCGGAGCCGCCCCACGCAGCAGCAAGCCCAGAGGCTTCGCCGAGTTCTCGGCCAGCCCGATCTTCTGTTTTCAGATTTTTAAAAGTAAACAGCAGCAGCAGTTCCGCGGGACCTGCGGCCTCTGGCCCTCCCCTGCGCGTGCTTCGGGTGTCTGTACACCCCGCGGGCGGCAGAGCCTTCCGGGCCGCCGCGAGTTTCCCGCACAAAATTTATTTTGCAAAACCGCTGCAGCAAAATGGCCAAACGAAGCGCCCGTGGGGCCCCCAAAGCCGCGGGGGGGGCCCCCTCAAAGGGCTCTGCCATCTCCCGTGGCACAGCCTCGACTCTGCCGAATCGCCAGCTGCCGGCGAACAAAAAACCCGGTGGGTCTCGCGGCCTTTTGAACTTGAAATCTGAAAATTCCAGTTTTTTTGGAAAGTTCAACTTTGACTTGCATGCGCTTGCATGCGTTTTGGCGTGGAAAGTTCAAGTTTGACTTGCATGCGCTTGCATGCATGTTGGCGTGGAAAGTTCAAGTTTGACTTGCATGCGCTTGCATGCATGGAACACTTGTTGGAAGCTGCCTCGAACGCATGCAGCTGTCCACCGCAGTTGCCAACTGCGGTGAACAGCTGGGGGCCCCCCAGCAGCAGCAGGGGGGCCCCCAGCAGCAGCAGGGGGGCCCCCAGCAGCAGCAGGGGGGCCCCCAGCAGCAGCAGGGAGTCCCTTAGCAGCAGCAGGGGGCCCCCAGCAGCAGCAGGGGGCCCCCAGCAGCAGCAGGGGGCCCCCAGCAGTGGGTGAAGTGCGTTTGAGTTTTGCTGCAGGCCACTACCGTTCTGCGAGCAAAATTCGGCTGCTGCAAATGTACAACTCGAAGCCCCAGTGGCTGCGGCCCGGAGGCAAACAGCCGCAGCCGCTCGCCCCCGCCCGCATCCAGCCAGACCGCCGCTGGTTCGGAAACACCCGCGTGATCGACCAGCAGAAACTCTCCGAGTTCAGAGAAAACATTCAAAAGGCCTCAGCCGATCCCTATACGTGAGGCACTTAGGCCAGCTTTCTGAAAAGTGGAAATAATTCAAAGATTTTGAATTAAATGAGTTGTAATG